TGTGTGTGTGTGTGTGTGTGTGTGTGTGTGTGTGTGTGTGTGTGTTCCTCAGACCTCCACAGCAGGGTCTGAACCCAATCCCTGAGCCTGCAGAGCCTCCTCTCTCTTCATCTTCGGTTTCTCTGTCCGCGTGTGCCACACCAGCACCTACAAAGTGTTTGAAAACTAACATGTTAAACACACCTGAAAAACATATCACATGCCCACTCGTGTAAACTGGGAGTGCACGTGCTGGTGTGAACAGTAGTTGCTCGAATAATATCCATGAAAGCAGTCGCATCTATAGAAAATGCAGAATTTAACTGCACAAGAGCTGTTAGCAAAGACAACAGGGTCAGAAATGCTTGTAGCTGATTATTCATGTTGCGCTCTACACTCATAACCAAGGCTAATGCCGGTTGTCACATGTGATTGGAACCTGACGAATCAGCGAAGGTTATGTTGTGACCGAAAAGACCCAATCAGCAAGAAGTTGTGAGCGTCTGTCATCGTTTCAAACATCTCTGTTTGAACATGTCTGAACTAAAACACTGCGTTGAAGTTTTCAATCTTAAACTTGGACGCCAGGTGTAACCATAGCAGAGGTGAGGCGTTTTCGAACGTAATAGTGCGGGTGTAGCCGAAATATCTGAATTTGGTTCCTCATACCTTCGAGCAGTTGTCCGCTTTGGGCTCCAGCTCATCCATGGTAACCAATCCCTGAAGAAAGCTGCTTTCGAGGAAACCCATTGGTGCCTCTCCATCGAAACAAGCCTCTGGATTGGCCAGGACCAGTTTGAGGGACACAGCAAATCCAGCCATGTCCATGGGGAAGGGGCGACTGGGACGCCAGCCGGTGTGGAAGCGAACCACCTGAGCAGAATTAACACAAAACACAAATTAGAAAGGGATCCTTCTGTTCCACCATTGACAAACTAGAGATAGGAAAGCACTCACTTTTCCTCCTTCAACCACTGGCCTCTCATATTTCATCCCTCCAACCAGCCCCACAGGCCACACAGACACTCGCTGGGTACTCCTCATCTGAGACGAGACAACAAGATATTTCTCTCATTTACTAACGGGACATTTTAAAGGCACACGCATAGCGTCACAGCATTAAACTTTGTAGACATCACGAACACATTTGCAACATCCACCTCTTCAAATATCGGTAGGCTGTATGTGTTATCGTCATCAGCGAAGTAAACCACTCCCTGCTGGTTATCTCCGCCTGGCTGAGCCCTTCTGTCCTCTCTGAGCCACCGTAGACCCTCATTCCTCTGCTCGACTCCACGGGGCTTCAGCCAGCTGGGGTCGCCCTGAGGAGCAGATTCAAAAACAAAAAAGACAATAATGTTATGTGACAGATTGATTTTTGACTCTACAATTCACCTGACTCTGCCCACCTCCTGGAGTTTGCGGTCCTTGGCAGTGGGCATGTGTAAGTGTGTGAAGGTCAGGCCGCTCTTCACGAGGAGGTCTGTCACCAGCGGCGTCTTATGAGGCGAGTCTTCCACCACAATCCAGTGGAGCTGAGGAACGTGGAGGAACGTCTGGGACAAACGAGTAAGCTCAGCTTTCTGTACCAGCCTGGAAAGACAGAACATTAAAAGGAGGGTGTGTTTGTGCGTGAAGGGGGATGTATAGTAGCAAGAGGAGGGGGAGATTGGAGAAAAGAGGGCTACCTTGCGTATGTTGGGGTGATTACAAAGATGGTGGGCAGAGAGGGCTTGACTGCCTGTTTCTGGGGCTGTTTGGTCGCCTCCGACTTCCTCATCTGCTCCTGAAGACGGTGCAGCTCCCCCCGCAGCCGAGATATGGTACGGTCTTTGGGCAGGTCATGCTCCGTGCAGTCGCAGCGTTGACCTGCACAGCATCGGGGGGGTGAAAACGGATGAAGGCAGAGGGCATTTTCAATATTCTAGACTTTTACTTGTAGCCTGGGGGAGGATCAGCCGTGCATAGTGAGTGTTTTACCAAAAGGTAACGGTGTCTGTTTACTGAGTGATCCGATCACAAGTGACGAGTTTTTAACCAGTTTTAATTAACAGATGTGTCTGTTGATGTGTATGTGCGTGCATGCGTTTGTGTGTTCGTGCGTGTCGGCCTCAGCAAAAGGGATGAGAAGCTGAGTTGGGAGGGGCTGATGCAAGGGAAGAATCCACGGATGTAAAATGACGACATTTTAAAATAGGATCAATCATGGTGATGAATGAATCAACGTATAGAACTGAGAAGTGTAAAAATATGAGTGATTCATTGCGACACTGTAGCAGGTCACAGGACCTCAGCTGAGGAGGCGTGATGGGCTCCCATTGGGTCTGGACGTTTACTTAACGCTGAGCACTTAGAGTAATAGACTACCAGGCCTGAACGCGGTCTGTGAGCCGACCACTCACCCAGCTGCATCAGTGCATAGACGAGGCCCAGGAGGGAGACCATGAAGTAGAGCACGAACACCGTCTTCAGCTTCAGCTTCATCCTTGTTGCCATGGTGATCAGCTGAAAGGAGGACAGTAATGGACGTGTAAAACATCGTGAATCAAATTGTGTTACTCTCAAAGGATTATTGGATTATATTTCTATTTAATTATCGGCTCTCTGTTTTTAGCATTTGGAGATTGCAATGATGGGAACATTCTGATTCTCGTCCAGCACTCAGCACTTTGCTAACGCGCTAAGACGGCTAATGTCCCTGCTCAACAACATTACGTTTCCTGTCACGACGAGTGCAAAACGTTCAATCTAAAAATGTAAAGGTTTCCGTGCGCTGTTACCGAGAAGACGTGATAACCCCTCGAACATGAGGATACACCAGTGCAAGCTAAGCTATGTTAGCCTAACAAACAAGTTTTCACAGGAAATAACTCGGCGGTTATTTTCATGAGCTCACCAGCGGCGGGAATTCGTGGAAGACGAGAACGAGCGGCTTGAATCATGAGCTGAGGAGTTCATGTCATGTTGGACAGATGGAAGCAGAAGCACCTCAGTGCATCACAGCGTCCATTCATTCCGTTTAGCTAGGACACAAATATACCAACATCTTCCGGTTGCGGTGCACCGCTGTAAGGAGTCCCCTCGGATCGTAGGCTATCCCCTAATAGTTCCACATAAATTCAAACTGTCTCGGCAGGAGAGATTTTCTAGTTGTTTGCCTAACATTTCATAATTTATAAAGATTAAAATACACATTTTTACAGTCACAAACTCATGATTATCCTATATATGAGATTTTGAAGGTATATATGTATTTTTTTTCATTTAGCAAAGATGAAAATATACGATTGTCTCTAATGTTCCTAATTTACATTAATTTCACGACATTTTATTGCTTCCGTGCATATTCATCTGTTTAAAATGTAAACTCATTCATCACACGTAAAAAAAACAAAAGGGCATCTCTTGAAAAGTCAAACAACTTTCCTTTATTTGTAACATACAAATAAAACACTGACAAGGCAGAATGACTTACTTTTCCCTTTCATTATCGTTTATGGACAAGACTTTTTAAACACTCACTCTCAATCATGGAAGGTTTTTGTTTTTTTTTAAACATGTTTAAAAAAAAACAAAAACCTTCCATGATTGAGAGTGAGTGTTTAAAAAGTCTTGTCCATAAACGATAATGAAAGGGAAAAGTAAGTCATTCTGCCTTGTCAGTGTTTTATTTGTATGTTACAAATAAAGGAAAGTTGTTTGACTTTTCAAGAGATGCCCTTTTGTTTTTTTTACGTGTGATGAATGAGTTTACATTTTAAACAGATGAATATGCACGGAAGCAATAAAATGTCGTGAAATTAATGTAAATTAGGAACATTAGAGACAATCGTATATTTTCATCTTTGCTAAATGAAAAAAAATACATATATACCTTCAAAATCTCATATATAGGATAATCATGAGTTTGTGACTGTAAAAATGTGTATTTTAATCTTTATAAATTATGAAATGTTAGGCAAACAACTAGAAAATCTCTCCTGCCGAGACAGTTTGAATTTATGTGGAACTATTAGGGGATAGCCTACGATCCGAGGGGACTCCTTACAGCGGTGCACCGCAACCGGAAGATGTTGGTATATTTGTGTCCTAGCTAAACGGAATGAATGGACGCTGTGATGCACTGAGGTGCTTCTGCTTCCATCTGTCCAACATGACATGAACTCCTCAGCTCATGATTCAAGCCGCTCGTTCTCGTCTTCCACGAATTCCCGCCGCTGGTGAGCTCATGAAAATAACCGCCGAGTTATTTCCTGTGAAAACTTGTTTGTTAGGCTAACATAGCTTAGCTTGCACTGGTGTATCCTCATGTTCGAGGGGTTATCACGTCTTCTCGGTAACAGCGCACGGAAACCTTTACATTTTTAGATTGAACGTTTTGCACTCGTCGTGACAGGAAACGTAATGTTGTTGAGCAGGGACATTAGCCGTCTTAGCGCGTTAGCAAAGTGCTGAGTGCTGGACGAGAATCAGAATGTTCCCATCATTGCAATCTCCAAATGCTAAAAACAGAGAGCCGATAATTAAATAGAAATATAATCCAATAATCCTTTGAGAGTAACACAATTTGATTCACGATGTTTTACACGTCCATTACTGTCCTCCTTTCAGCTGATCACCATGGCAACAAGGATGAAGCTGAAGCTGAAGACGGTGTTCGTGCTCTACTTCATGGTCTCCCTCCTGGGCCTCGTCTATGCACTGATGCAGCTGGGTGAGTGGTCGGCTCACAGACCGCGTTCAGGCCTGGTAGTCTATTACTCTAAGTGCTCAGCGTTAAGTAAACGTCCAGACCCAATGGGAGCCCATCACGCCTCCTCAGCTGAGGTCCTGTGACCTGCTACAGTGTCGCAATGAATCACTCATATTTTTACACTTCTCAGTTCTATACGTTGATTCATTCATCACCATGATTGATCCTATTTTAAAATGTCGTCATTTTACATCCGTGGATTCTTCCCTTGCATCAGCCCCTCCCAACTCAGCTTCTCATCCCTTTTGCTGAGGCCGACACGCACGAACACACAAACGCATGCACGCACATACACATCAACAGACACATCTGTTAATTAAAACTGGTTAAAAACTCGTCACTTGTGATCGGATCACTCAGTAAACAGACACCGTTACCTTTTGGTAAAACACTCACTATGCACGGCTGATCCTCCCCCAGGCTACAAGTAAAAGTCTAGAATATTGAAAATGCCCTCTGCCTTCATCCGTTTTCACCCCCCCGATGCTGTGCAGGTCAACGCTGCGACTGCACGGAGCATGACCTGCCCAAAGACCGTACCATATCTCGGCTGCGGGGGGAGCTGCACCGTCTTCAGGAGCAGATGAGGAAGTCGGAGGCGACCAAACAGCCCCAGAAACAGGCAGTCAAGCCCTCTCTGCCCACCATCTTTGTAATCACCCCAACATACGCAAGGTAGCCCTCTTTTCTCCAATCTCCCCCTCCTCTTGCTACTATACATCCCCCTTCACGCACAAACACACCCTCCTTTTAATGTTCTGTCTTTCCAGGCTGGTACAGAAAGCTGAGCTTACTCGTTTGTCCCAGACGTTCCTCCACGTTCCTCAGCTCCACTGGATTGTGGTGGAAGACTCGCCTCATAAGACGCCGCTGGTGACAGACCTCCTCGTGAAGAGCGGCCTGACCTTCACACACTTACACATGCCCACTGCCAAGGACCGCAAACTCCAGGAGGTGGGCAGAGTCAGGTGAATTGTAGAGTCAAAAATCAATCTGTCACATAACATTATTGTCTTTTTTGTTTTTGAATCTGCTCCTCAGGGCGACCCCAGCTGGCTGAAGCCCCGTGGAGTCGAGCAGAGGAATGAGGGTCTACGGTGGCTCAGAGAGGACAGAAGGGCTCAGCCAGGCGGAGATAACCAGCAGGGAGTGGTTTACTTCGCTGATGACGATAACACATACAGCCTACCGATATTTGAAGAGGTGGATGTTGCAAATGTGTTCGTGATGTCTACAAAGTTTAATGCTGTGACGCTATGCGTGTGCCTTTAAAATGTCCCGTTAGTAAATGAGAGAAATATCTTGTTGTCTCGTCTCAGATGAGGAGTACCCAGCGAGTGTCTGTGTGGCCTGTGGGGCTGGTTGGAGGGATGAAATATGAGAGGCCAGTGGTTGAAGGAGGAAAAGTGAGTGCTTTCCTATCTCTAGTTTGTCAATGGTGGAACAGAAGGATCCCTTTCTAATTTGTGTTTTGTGTTAATTCTGCTCAGGTGGTTCGCTTCCACACCGGCTGGCGTCCCAGTCGCCCCTTCCCCATGGACATGGCTGGATTTGCTGTGTCCCTCAAACTGGTCCTGGCCAATCCAGAGGCTTGTTTCGATGGAGAGGCACCAATGGGTTTCCTCGAAAGCAGCTTTCTTCAGGGATTGGTTACCATGGATGAGCTGGAGCCCAAAGCGGACAACTGCTCGAAGGTATGAGGAACCAAATTCAGATATTTCGGCTACACCCGCACTATTACGTTCGAAAACGCCTCACCTCTGCTATGGTTACACCTGGCGTCCAAGTTTAAGATTGAAAACTTCAACGCAGTGTTTTAGTTCAGACATGTTCAAACAGAGATGTTTGAAACGATGACAGACGCTCACAACTTCTTGCTGATTGGGTCTTTTCGGTCACAACATAACCTTCGCTGATTCGTCAGGTTCCAATCACATGTGACAACCGGCATTAGCCTTGGTTATGAGTGTAGAGCGCAACATGAATAATCAGCTACAAGCATTTCTGACCCTGTTGTCTTTGCTAACAGCTCTTGTGCAGTTAAATTCTGCATTTTCTATAGATGCGACTGCTTTCATGGATATTATTCGAGCAACTACTGTTCACACCAGCACGTGCACTCCCAGTTTACACGAGTGGGCATGTGATATGTTTTTCAGGTGTGTTTAACATGTTAGTTTTCAAACACTTTGTAGGTGCTGGTGTGGCACACGCGGACAGAGAAACCGAAGATGAAGAGAGAGGAGGCTCTGCAGGCTCAGGGATTGGGTTCAGACCCTGCTGTGGAGGTCTGAGGAACACACACACACACACACACACACACACACACACACACACACACACASACACACACACACACACACACATTGTTAATTCCTTCTGCTGTTCAATGCTGAATATGCAAACCTGCCTTGTAAATACTGTAAAAATTTAAAAATATCTGTTAGAGGCGATATTTAAATGAAGCTGGTTATAACTGCTTGTGTGTTTGTTTGTTCTGTCGGGTAGTCAATGTGCGTGTGTGTGTATATATTGAATGATTGTGTGTGTGTTGTTGTAACTGTATATTAGTGTACATATCAGGGTTTTCGTTTGTTTTAGTTAGTTAGACATCTTTCTTCAGCAGTACAGAGAACGAGTTCAGACATTTGCCTGATTGGGGGCGCCAGTTTTCCAATTTTGCTCCACTGGTACATTTCGAGGAATCTTATTAAAGATTTGTAAGATTTGTCGGTTTAACTAATTTCTGGCAGCAGTTAGATATTTTTCCAGCTGAGTCACATCATGTCTTGTTCCACCTCGTGTCTTTGTTCCCTCTGTTGATTGTATCTGTACTCAACTTTTATCAGTTCTAACATCTTGACTGATTCTCTGACGGAGACGCAGTTGACATGGAGCATTTCTTCATGCATGGCCTCTATTGTTGTGTAATAAGTATCCGTAAGTATGTACTCAGCCATTATAGGTGCGTTTTTAGTCACAAGACAAAAAAAAATCACATCACCATCAGAGGCATGAGCATATTCTTTCTACATATTACTGTGGGGCAAAGCTTGTTTTTCAGCGTAAACAAGATTCCTGACAAACAGTCACACAAAAACAAAACAGTGAACAAATGCTAGTGACTAGTTGCTGCCTTGTTTTTATTATGTGCTCATACATCTGTGTCACAAACACAACTTTGCGACACTATACCACAACACAAACAAAACAAATACAGAGATGCAAAGGCTCCACACCCACAATCATAACACAACAGCTTCTTCTCACAAGTATTTATATGTGAATGCTTCTCGTGATGCTTTTTTGGAAACATAGTTGGTGGAATCCATCCAGAAATCACCACTGACACACATTTAAGTCATTATGCAGTAACACTAAACAAAACATGGCGTCCATATTACACTTTCTCAAATAGGAAGAAAAAATCCCTGTTCGATTTCACTTTCAGTGTTTTGAAAAAAAGCTTTTATGTATAAATCAAACTACTCTGTGCACTTTATTATCTTTTCTTCAGAAATCAAACAGTGAAGTAACAAAACGGTTCTCCTCACCTACTGTTGTATTATACTGTAAAAACAGCTAGTGTCTGCTTCTGTATAATTAGTGCCTGTAAGTCAGTTCTCTACTGGTGTATGATGTATTTATTACTGTAATATTCTCTACTTCGTATAACGTGATCATGTCTGTCCCTGCTCTGCAAAATAAACCGAGTTAATGGAAAATGTATTTTTGTCTTTTCAAACTTTAGTGGTTCTGGCCTAGTTTTTATTAATTTTTCAGAGAATAATTTATGAATCTTCATGGAGGAAATTCAGGAAGCTTGATTGAATTTCAGGGGACTGTTGGGCTCATGTGTTAAAATGTTGTACATCCTCAGTTTTTGTCTGTGAGCTCAGGGACTATCTGTATCCTGTTTACTCAGTGGTTTTTTACACAGAATCTCATGAACAGAGCCACACGGCCAAAATAGAAGTTGTTTTTAAAAGTCACAGCCTTGCTTTAAGTGTCTTGAATGAGCTTGAACTAGAAACACGTGTATCTTCCCTTGCCTAAGCCAATATTTTCTCCCCTGTCCATCAGCAATATTACACAACAACCAGATGGATTAACTTGAAAATCTGTGGTAGGATGTGGTATGAGTCAGGGAAGAACCCATAAAAGTTTGGTGTGGATCCAGGATTCTTTTCACTTTCTTTGTCGTTGCAATATATCCTAGATCTTGATGAAAAAAACATCAGGTGTGTTTAGTGAACTGATATCTATGAGTGTGTGAAATTTGATGAAACGATTTCTCTTCCAGACAAATAAAAACAGATCTGGTCTTTCTGTGCTGCTGCAGATGAAATGAATTTCTGTATTCATTAACTATTTTCTATCGTCACATTTTGGATTCTGAGGCCGTCTTGTTTAGTAAATGCTGAATTGACTTAGAAGTCCATCGTCTGTCTCGACTGGCTCCTCAATTTCCCTGATTTGAAGCCCAGCCAGCAGCACACCTGTTCCCTGTCTGAGTGTGTCAGCTCACACACTCCAGCAGCCTGAGGCACAGATGGGACGTTGCGGTGTCACGCTCGACTTGTCTGACTTAGTTCTGTCTGTCTCATCCTCTGCAGTTTCACCACATCGAAACAAACAACCAAGAGAGCATGACATGTCCCTGCTCGACAGTGTCCATGGCAACCTGCTCCCAGCATCCACCACTGTCAGCAGTGATTTCCCACACAGGTGGGGGATTGTCCGACCTCAACACAGCTGAGGTTTTTTACAGGCCTGTGTGATTGGCAGCTGATCCGCCCTCTCTGCAGGGAAGTGGCCCGCTCGTTGACCATATATGGAGTGTTAGGGACGCGAGAGTCTGCCTCCTCACAAAACACACACTCACACAGGCCTCGTAAGATGAATGTACACCGGGGGGGTGACTAAGAGCTGAAGTCAGAGAGCCAGATGCCAGAGTTTCATCCGCGATGATTCAAGTGCATTTAAACATACACACCTGCAGACTAGACTTAAATAGTTACTGGTTCAGTTCCCGTCTGCAACTTTTAAACTTTATCATCACCTACACTGTCATAGTTTCATTCATAGAAAACAAATATCACACTCCATTCATGTGTCCAAGTGTTGCTGTGTCTTCACATTTGCACAGTATGCATGTGGGTGCATGTACAAGAAGGTGTGTGTGCACAAGCTGACTTCAGTATGCTGTCATGGAGATGATTACACAAACACACACACACGTGCGGATTAGTGTGAATATCAGGACTTCTCATTAACTTCCATTCATTGTGGACAGCCTAACCAGAACCTTATCCCGAACCTGTGCCATGCCTCTAAATCATACCTTAGCCTAACCTTAACCAGGAGCTAAGGAATGACATCATCCCTCATTAGAACCAGGCTTTGGTCCCAGTTGAGTCTACTGGTCCTGACAAGGTCAGTGTTTATGCTGGATAAGGAAGAGGTTACAAAAATGATTATACACACAGACAAACACTCTGCACCCCCCAAACACAGTGTTTAACATCCAAACACATGGGGGGTTGGGGCTGAGGAGGCCTATTGGATGAGAGGTGGGGCATCTATTTGGGTCCAGTTGCCTATGGGCACTTAAACAAGTCCTGACTATTAGTGAGACACTGTTTCCTCAGTTCCTGTTTTTCTTATTTAGTGCTATACTTAGCCCTTACCTTGTATGCGTGCTTGTATTGATGTGTGTATATGTGTGTTTTACTTTGATTGTATGAAATGTGCTATTTTTAATGAGGGGGATAAAAAAACACCTTCTAAGTTACACTGAATGTAAAATATCTGTGTGTGTGTGTGTGTGTGTGTGTGTGTGGTGTTTGCAGCCTCTGAGGTTACAGCTGGGTTGGAGTCACGTCTGTTTGCCGCAGGTTGAGGACGTTCATGGTTAATGACTGATGGCTGCTGATATCAGAGTAGGAAGTTTGTTCAGTGGTATGAAGTTAAACCTTTTGAGAACCCCTGTGTGTGTTTGTGTGTGTACAAGGGTGTGTAGGCCGCAGTACATTTGTCCCTTCGTCTCTTATTAGTGTTATAGATTTCTTAACTTTAAGTCGTTGTGTGCTTAAGGATGCAGAGAGGTCGTGTGTGTGTGTGGTTAAACAAAAAGGAGCAGAAGGCGTAAAAGAAAGAGAAAGACAAAAGGTCCTTGTTAGTGAGAGTTTTCACTGTGTGTGTGTGTGTGTGTGTGTCCCTTTGGCATGTCTGTTCATTCGCTCTGGTGATGACAGGAGTGCAGGTTCGGGCAGGGTCGACCCGTGACGTTGTGTGTTAGGGGAGTATCCTGAGCTCCCAGCTCTCAGTCACCCACACAGGAGCCACTGCTCAACAGTGCTGACACACACACTCTCCCTCACACACACACTTACAAGAGGAAGACAACAGCAAGATATCAGGTAAGACGTGTTTCTCTTTATCTGAAAAATCTCCATTTTGCTCACCGCTAGTGTCGATGACATGTGTCATGACAAGTAATTTTATGAAAGAAAAGAAAGTAGTATTCTCTTTACAGCTCCCTTGATTATTCTTACAATAAGCAGCAGGTTGTTCGATTGATTTTTTCTCCTCCTCTCAGTCTTCTTGTGCTTGTTTTCTCGATAGATCATCTGGTTTCATTCTGCTCTCTCCTTCTTTATTCCTTCTTTCTTTTTTTATTTTGCTGATGTTTATTTCTATCAATCCTCATCCTTACTTTAATAATCTCAGCCCCTGGCAGACTGGGTGAGGTTCGACAGGTTATGTGAGATGTAGCCCACACCTGGGGGCATCTGTACTCCTTTTTTTATTTGTCACTTTTTTTTTTTTACCTTTGCACAGAGTCAGGCTAACTGCCCCTGTTTCCAGTCTTTGTGCTAAGCTAAGCTAACCAGCTGTTGACTATAGCTTTAAATCTCTACGTGAAAGTGACATTCATCCTCTCATCTTGCTCTGGATAAGAAAGTCATCAATTATTTCTGAAAGTTATTTCAATAAATTGCAGTTTTACATTGGTTGCTGTATAGTTAATTATAATAACCCGGATTTCTATAGCACCTTTCACCAGAGGTGCTTCACAAAATGTAATAGTGCAAAAGACAGCATATTCTAAATAATAACAAACTCGATCTTGGTGGATTGTAGTGAAATATGTCATCAGGTATGAATTTGTGCATGACTAAAATGTAAGATCACAAGGGCAGAAACTGAAAAGAATGTTTCACTTTTGGTAACAACCAAATTGCTGATGTCACAGCAGGGGTTTGTCCGTGACAGGTGATAGAGAACACTCTGTCTTTGTGAGTCTTACTTAGTTCAGATTATTATTAAGTTTTCTATTATTTTACCGGATATCTAAGAATATTTATTTTCCTCAGTACATAGCTTTATTCATGGTTTATGTATTCTTTCCGTGTTTTTGTCACCTGTCTTGAATTTGGACGTAATGTCGATAATTTGTTGGTTTATAAAGTTTTTTTAAAAATGTGATAGAAGATGCCTGTTTCGGGTCCGACTCGTTAAATCAGTGTCAAAGTCTGAGTCTGTGTTTGTGCACTTGTGTGTTTATCTTCACTGCGTTCTCATCTTTGACATCTAGTTATCATCACAACCCCGGCAACATTGACCCTGATCTCTTGGCTAACACACACACACACACACTCGCATACACACGCATATCAATAGTAGAACTACAGGTGCAAATCTGCAATGGTCTATAGCAGATCATCCACACGATCATATCCACATAAAACATGCAGACGCTTGCATATACTCGCAACATTTCTCATTTCATGCATCTATCACCTTCCCTGTACTTTGTTTCACATGAAATTCTCTCGTAGCTGCTATTAAGTGATTGAGATTACGAGTGTGAAAGAAGGAGACCCAAAGAGCGAGGTTAAAAGCCAGATTATGTAATGGTATTAAACTAATCTCTGTTCTTTTTCAGTGGTAACCCAAAAACAAAAGGGGAAAAGAAGTGTGTGAGAGGTAAGAGTGCAACAAGAGGTGAAAGAGAAACAAGACAGAAAGAGAAAGGATGACAATTGGAAAGAACTCCAGAAAAAGCTCAACCAGGGGCTCCATCCGTGCCCCGAAGTTTCTGGACAAATCCGGTGGCTTCTACGGTCGCCTTGATGAGCCTGAGACCACTGTAGAGGGGGAGGAGGTGAGGGGCAGTGAAGCAGAGGAGAGAGGGAATGGGATGGAAGACAGCAGCAGAGAAGGGAAATCCATGAGTACCCCGGTTTCAAGTGTGGTGACCAGCTCTGGGGCAGATGAGAGGGAAGAGGCTGAAGCATTTGACTTCAATGAAGGCATGATGGAGGACGATGGCGAGACTCTCCTGTGCAGGAAACCCAGCCGCCGCAGCAGCAGATGGAGGAGAAGCTCCAGGAGGAAGCAGAAGGAAGGAAGAACCGAGGAGGATGCAGCCCGAGCCGAGAGGCCCGGCCTGGACACAGAGAGCCAGGCTGACCCCAACGTCCCGGAGGGAACCAGGGTGATGATCGAGATCGAGATGGAAAAGCTGAAGCAGACGGAGGAAGAAAATGAGAAGGCGGGAAGAGAGAAGGAGCCCACAATCGTCCACTTCCCGGCTCGGGATGACGAGGACGACCAGGTCCTCATCAGAGACAAGAAGAGGGGGAGAGAGGAAGAGGGAGAAGAAGAGGGGAGGATGAAGAGAGAGCAAGACGAGGGGATGAAGGTGGTGAAGAGGATCACGATGAAGAATTATCGCAAGGTGAGAGAGAACAGACAAAAAGCGACTCTTGTATTGCTTCTTATTTTTTTCTCCCATTAACTTCTGCCTTCTCTACATTAACATAAATTCCATGTGAAGCCTCCCCCGTCTGGTTAAACTTTAATCCCCTGAACGTTACATAACTCCTGAAAGGTTGTTGAACAGAGGGTAAAGTTCTCCCTCTACACTCTGCATACTGGGCTATTAATCACCATGGAAACCGTCATATCACCTTAATAACAGACTGCCACTGGGGTCAAAGTACAGCAGCCACTAGTGCATGTCACCAACATATTAAGTAACCTCCCCCAGCAGGAGTTTTCCTTTACGTCATGTTTTACGACATGAAAAACCAATAAAGGTTTAATTAATTTATACGTGTAAAGCAGTATAAAGAGGTGGACGGGTGAATTGTGTACCTTCACCTGATTCATGCTCCTAAAGATTTTCCGCTCCCGTGGAAGCACAAGCACAGAGGTGACATTCCTGTCCCGTGTCACGTCTTTTGATCCGTGGAACGAAGTACGGTGGCAGCGGCCCGCCTACTAAACCCACACCACCAAAACATTCCACTGTCACAACCAATCAGCTCCACCCTCGGGCCTCCCAGCCTGACCTCCAGCGAGTTTCTCCTCGGAACAGAAGTTTCTGTGTGTGAGGGTGAGGGTGATAAGGATATAATGAAAATCAAGCTTCCATTTCTTAAGTGTTGGTATCATTGAGGGGAACAGAAGTCAGATTATCCGGTTTACAGCAGTGAATCCCAAGATGTCGACACAAGAGGATAAACAGGCACGAACACCAATATACAAAATGAATTGCTTTTTTTAAACAAAGCTGTTCTTTCAAGGAAATTCCTCCTTCCGCCTTTTCATTCTCACACAGTGATCATTTCAAGGTCAACCTTATCTCTGTATTTGTGACCTTGTTAACCTTTACCCTCCTCTTCCCATCAGGCCTTGGACCGGGCGTTTCGCCGTGGCTGGGAGGCTTTCATCACCAACCTGTACAGCGTCACGCTCACACCTGTGACATCATCCTCGTCGCCTTCGCCTTCATTAAAGAAGAAACAGCAGCACAGCACCGTGTTAGCTGAATTCCAGTAGTTCTGGGGCCTGACATGACGATAAACAATTTCTAATATCAAATCATGATTACGCTGAATGTGTGATGGACAACCCTGGTTTTTATGACTGTGCCATCAGCCACATGATGTGTTTGAGTCCTGCATTAGGCCTCAGAAATATGAATTATTTATGGTAGTTACTGAGTCTTAATTACTCAACATTACATTTACTGCCTTCTCATAGAATGGGGGTTACTACTTTGCACACAAACTGCTTTTTACGGTTTCACTGTAGGAGCTGAAGGAGCCAGGTGGTTGGTTTTACCTTGAAGTCTATGAGACTGGCGGGAATTTTAAAGTCCGGTCTTAATATGACTGAGTTCAGCTGTCTCTAGTTCCCTTCTTCTACGTTGCTGATTCCTGATTTTACTCTGACTGTCTTAATGTCTTTGATCCGGTCCACGATTAAGAGCTTGTATTACAAATAATCTCTGCTTCCTTTGTTTTAGCACAATGAAACTAACATGTTGATGTGTAAGCAAAAGGAATGGAAAACTTCTAGAGTAGCGATGACTGATCAGTGGACTTTAGTTTTGATGATGTTCACGTTTCTGTTTTGTAATCAGCACCATTTAATGCTGTCAGGCAGCTTATCAGTCATCAAAGAGGAGGACAAGCATACAAATGCAGCCAGCAAGCATTTAAACACTAATTTGTGCGTTAATATTTGTGTGGAAATTGAAGCTTTTCATCAACTTTAACCCATTTTAATACAAGTTTTCCTCCATTTGTATGTGTGTTAACAGTAATTCACAAGCAATATCAGGTTGACAGTGTTTGACTTCCTCGTGAGATAAAGTTTATCCTAGTGTGAGTTCTGGTGAGGGTTATTTAACCTGATGGAACAAGACAGGAGAGTGTTTGCATGAGTATGTTTGAGAAAGTAAGAGAGAGATAGCTTTTATAGCCGGGGTATGAGCCTGTACTGAACACAGCAACAGCATCCACTGCCTTTTCATTGTTTGTTTCAGGTTTTTCTCTTTAAAAAAGTGCTCTGATCTGAAAATCACCCCAACCTACATGTCAAACAGTATTTAAGAAGAGTTAATGACTGACCCTTAATGTAAAAACAACCATGTTTACAATAGACCTTCTTTAATTTCCTGCCATCCACTATGTATTTGTTTTTTTTAATATTGCCTCAAGTGTACTTAGTCATCCCCGATGACTGAAAAGGTCACAGGAGATAATTTATCATATTTTAATGACTGTTCTTAAATAATGCATTAATTTTTATATAATATATTTTATTTTATATCCTAATCAAATAAAGACTGAATTTATTCTAGTGGTTGTATTTTCATTTTAATAGTAAATCAGACACGATAAACTGAGAAGCTTGTGTTTATTGTCACAGCTATTATTTTATGAATGAATTATAATAAATGACGCTTCACACACAGCTTCATGCCATCATAAGGCAACCATGGCAACAGTTGCCATGAAACTATGAACAATCACAAGTCACAAGAAGATGTGACTCCACTGAACTCATAGTGGGCACTCAGAAAGTGGATGCCTAGAAATCCACTGTCAAAATTCATGTGTTTGTACAATAAATAAATAAATATGGGTTGTTGAATAAGTGATAAAGAAGAAGCAATAAAGACAAAGAAATAAATGAATACACTAAGAATAATAATATACAAAAATAGAATATGTGTGGATGTATATTTGTGTTGACTGACAATGTTTGGCTCTTTTATTTCGAAAATATTCGAAAGTATTCACTTGTGTAGCAGTAAAATAAAGTAAAAGTGTTTTAAGTTCTCATCATCCAAGATATTGTTTTCTACAAAATGAGCAGTTGTTTAACTTTAGATTATTTTATGGTGTATTCATTATAGGATATAAAACCACGAATGCTGCCATCTAGTGGATGGGAATAATACTACTTTTTCTAAACGGAAATGACGCAGCACATGAACTTTCTACGCTTTCCTCAAACTGTATCTTTAATTCGATTTTTTTTCAAACAGTGATTTTAATTCACATTAAAAAGTTTTCTTGTTGTTTTCTTGAATTTATTCTCAGCCTCATGAAGCCGCGGGAAATATCCGCGGGAAATATCCGCGTTTCTATCCGGTTAACCGGATGGGAGGAGTCCGCCAGGCCGGACATAAAAGGCAGACGGACCCATTTCTTCTTCCACTTCCTTCTCTGCTCTGGTCGAGGTAAGACCCTTCACGTTCTCCTCTCATTCGATTATGACTTTTCTTTAGTTGTTGGAACTTACCTGCACTTTTGATAATAGCTTCTATAATTAGCACGCAACTTGTAGCTAGTGTTTATGACATTAAACGCTGTTTCATTGGTGCTAGCTAGCAACTTAGCGTGCTAGCTAGAATTTAGCTCTAGCCTCTCAATCCTTTACCATCCGTCGGTTTAACATGTTACTGTCGTGTGATAAACTGTATTTACACACACTGCAACATGTTTCCTACATGCATTATATGATATTTGTTGGAAAAGACTCCAGCGATTATTGTGTAATGGCCGCTGCACGTTCGGCCCACGTTCTGTCTCTCAATGATGATACTTTCACAGACCTGTACTGAATGACTGTGACTGCACTTTTATATTTCTGATGTGAGACGCCTCTTTTATAAAACATGTCGCCAACTCATGTGGGCCTGAACACGTTGCACGCAGCGGTCACGTGCTTGCCGCCCACAGCTCTCCCTGCACCCAAGTTAACTTCTTCCTCTTCACTTTGTCTCTTTCAGATGGAGAACGATCCAGGAAGTGTTCGCTGCACAGGTGATTACTACCTTTTAGTGTAAACTTGTAATGTTCATGTCTTGGTGTTTGGATGCTAATAAAGTGAACGTGGTTTGAATGTCATGGCGCATCATTGGAGCCTCATGCTACAGTGATGACTTATTTGAACTCTCTCACTGAATCTGTTTGAGGAAACCTGATCTAAAGATACTGAGAAGCATGACGCTGCTGTGTTGAACTGTGCACATGTGAAGCTATCATCCCGTGAAATGCTCATCATTTTCTCCATCTTAAAGGGGGAGGAGACTGTGGCAGGACTCCGTGCTGGACCCATCCAGGGTAAATTGGTTGCTTTGATTTGAACCTTTTCTATAATGTTTGTTCTGGAGCTCTGTGTGCTGCTGTGATGATCCCAGAACTCTCTCTTACCGAATCAGCCTTGAAGAAACTCCTTTACCAGATTCTGAGCAGCACATGGGCTCCACCATGCAGCTGTGGCTTTATTGTTTTATTCAAAATGCATCTTGATGAGAGCTGTGGAGTACTTTGTTAAACCCCCACGTGCTCAAAGAGACCACAAGTCCCCTTCCGGAGTCAAAAGAGTAAATCTAAAGGATTTAAGCACCCACATTGTTGTGACATGAGAATGCTAGCATTAAATATTAAACTCCAGCTATACTTCCATTTATGTCTAACCCTGATTTTTCTTTGCAGGTTTGGTCAGCTATGTCTTAGAAGCAGCTAGAGAGCCCACTGGGGTGAGTGTTCTACTGTTAAATTCCAAGTGATGCAAGACTAGTTTAACATGATGATTATAAATAGACAAGCATATGCCTGATTCCAGTGATGCCATCTTATAATCTGATTACCCTGAGTTGATATAAAACTGTTTAATTTCTCAGCATGCAGTGCACTGACTGTTTTTCTGGTCATAGGTGTTTGATCTCACTGTGGAAGGATGCTCCTTCAGCGCCTCAACATGTAAGTCTTTATCTACGCTTTAGTGATTGTTGAAAGGACCAGAAATGCTTTTCCTGCAATATAAGATTGAGAACACAAACCACTTCTGCTCCCAAGTTTGCCAGTAATGAAATGAATCCTTATTTTAACTCAAATTCCCTTCAATGTTTGAGAAGGATGGCGCAAATCAATACACTGTAAATGTAGAAGTTTGTCACCTGAAATTAGGACTACTTGTTTCCTTGATGTGTTCAATGACTGGTGGTTTTGTTCGTAATCTTACACAAATTCTATATATGGCAACGCATCTCTGGATGTTTGAGAGGATGAAAACATTAAATCAAACATTGGACGACTAATGTCTCATGGCAGTGTTATCACCAAAGCCCTGATCAAACATTTGAATGTTATGTCCAACATGTTGACAATTGAACTCTACTCAAGAGCCACTTTCTCTTACAGGGCCACTCTGGACTGGAAACCTGGAGAGGAGTCACAATGAAGTCTTCAGAGTCTTTGGTGTGTATTTTTTTTCTGCCCCCGTCTTATAGTGATGCAGTTCCAGTGATGATGAACTTAGCTCACTTTGAACCAATGTGAAACGACACGAACATCTGAGCAACTGCATCTTTTTAAAACTACTGCTAGTGAGATTTCATAACTTTGTTGCCTTGAATTTTGTAACATGTTTTGAGTAATGAATATAAACCAAAAGTCTACACAACACTATTTTTAAATCAAAGCAGGAATGCATGTGATTTCCTTGTACTCCTTATTGACCGTTGTCTCTCATCAACAGATAATCCGATGCCACTTCAGCAGCAAGACTGGCGTGTTCTCATTGAAGGTAAGATGTTTGCTCATCACTTCAGAATCTAGACATGGTGGACTTGGTCCCAGACCGACTGAAAATGATGAGATACATTTGGAATCTCGTTCGTCTGAACTGCTGTTGAGAAATGGAATATCTGACACATAACATGAAGGTCTATGTTTAGTAGCATAAGCATCAGAATTTTGTGCCTGGACCTTAGATGTGTTCTGTCTGTTACAGGTTCTGATGGAGAAATTGCCTTCATCAAGCCAGGTGAGTCTGTTCTCTGGGAAGTGTGAAAAGGCAGGTTTACTTTTTGTGTTGGCCAACTAGATGACCATTAAATATCAAACGCTCACATTAACATGAAGGAATGATGACAAGATTTGAATCATAATCACATTTAAGTTGGAATATAAATCAATGCATATAAGGAAGTACAGGTGTGGTCTCTGACTATGATGGTAAACTAAATTAGACTTTTTTTTAATGCTGTATAACACCTAAATCTCATAAGCAAGATGGACACAGTCGAGTGTAGCACTCAGTTTCCTACGTGATGACACCCGCACATGTCTTACGCCTTTTCAACGCCAGAACCTGAAAAGGTGGACCCACTGGTGTTGCCTTGGCAATAAGGGGAAGATCTGTTGGGGTTCCAACAGTCTGACTGGAAACTGCCTTAATCTCGTGACTCTTGTGTGAAGTTATGACGTAAGTAGATAATGTGAATCTTAATATTTTCTTCATATTTTAGGATGAAGCCAACACTGACCTGAGTGATGACTGAGCCTGTACCAGAGGTAAGTGTCTCATCTGTGCCGTCACTGATACGTGGAGATGATGAGCTTTTGTTACCGCCCCAGTCTGACAATTCATGACTGATTGGTTTTCTCTGATCACAAGTTAAGAAATAAAATCATGGTCATTGAAACAAATGAAACTGGATTGTTAAACCCCTGTCTCCTGTTGCAGGTTTGGAGATGGTGTCTCACTCCTCAGTGTCAGACACAGGTGTCTGACTGTGCTGCAGGTAAATGAACAGTGCGTCTCCAGGGTTGGGTTGTGTTCATGTGTGTCTTTTAGCATGATCTGGAAATGATGAGCTTTTGTTACCGCCCCAGTCTGAGAATTCATGACTGATTGGTTTTCTCTGATTAAAACTTTTAACAGTATTAAACATGACAAGGCTTTTATCTTTTTTAAGTTGTTGCTTATTTTGCAGTCAGGACTCAACCTGGTCATCCACAAGGAGAAGGATCAGCCATGTGTTCTGCCTTCAAGACTCATGCAGTTATTGTGCATAGTTTTTTCATTCATGTTAATCATGTATTTAAACCAGCACATTAAAATCATCCAACGAACTCTTGCTTTTGGTTTAATTTGGGAGAACATAAATGGTTTTCTTATTTGAGAGCTGTGGAAATAATAAAGCGTGTGTTGTCTGTCAGAGAAGGTAAAGCTTTACTTTGCACCTCCATCAGCCTGACTTAAGATGAGGGAACTAACATTTAAAATTCAAGTTGTGAGCTCAGGTTGTCTGTTTAAATTTAACATTGATCAATTTAAATTGTATGTGTTGTAATGCTGTATTAAGTGTCAGGATTTCATTTTAATAGGTTTTCTATACTTAGGTGTGTGTTGTAGTTCTCTAAAGATTCAAGGATCGGCTCACTTATTACACAAAGACCTGACTCAATTGCTGAATATGTGTTGTCACTACCTAGTTCGAAATTTAGTGAGGTTTGGCAACTTTCACTTTAATAGTGTGCAAATATTTCTGGGTCTCTAATCTGTTAAACTTGACATCTTAAACTTTAACTGTAATCCATCTAAAACCCAGTAACGAACATGCATTCAGGAAGAGCTCCCGTGTCAAATATGTTGTAGTGAAGCATCTCGTTGGAGAACCCAGTGTTACATTTTGAGCATATTTGGACAGAATGTGCTCTAATGTATTTTTAGTTACTCTTATCTTTTATTTTATGACACTTGCATGTCGAGGTGCTTGAGGTACACGGGATTTAAGACTTTCATTGCCAACGTGTACGCTGTATCTGTTGTGCAGATGACAATAAACCTTTGAACCTTGTGACTGTCAGAAGATGATGGTGCTAATAAATGGTCAGCCATAAAATCAACGTCCTCGCCGTTAAACTTCTTCAGGATGGTTGTGTTCCCCGCATTGTCCAGACCTCTGCACGGGCCATGTTAAAGACAATAACAATACACACGTGACAGCTAGCATGAAACAGCACAAAACGCACGCAACAAGCTCCGCACAGCACAGAACCATTTACTATGGCACTGAACAACAGGCAGGTGTAAACTACGGCCCGCAATTCTTGCATTTTTGACGCAAATGAAGCGGTAATAACGTTGTCGTATGGATCGTCCAAATGTATTTTTAGTTACTCTTATCTTTTATTTTATGACACTTGCATGTCGAGTTGCTTGAGGTGCCTGGGATTTAAGACTTTCATTGCCAACGTGTACGCTGTATCTGTTGTGCAGATGACAATAAACCTTTGAACCTTTGAACCTTGTGACTGTCAGAAGATGATGGTGCTAATAAATGGTCAGCCATAAAATCAAACTGAGTGAATGTAGAGCATGTAGTCCTGTTGTCACTTGTGGGATGTTGGCTTTAAACAGCATGAGAGTAAAACAGGGAACACAACACTGAAGTTCTATCAGTGAAGTGCATCACTAATGTGGACGCTCCTTGAAACAGACACTGCCAGAAACAAACAAGCTCTTCTGTGCATTAGTGATCTTTTATTGTGTCGATAACATTCGAGTCAGGCACCAACAAAGTATAAAACTCATTACATTGCTTAAATTATATAATACATTAGTTTCAAATGTCTGTCTATCTGAATCATTTTTTTTTTAACTTCTGCTTTTCTAAATTATTCTGGAGTCATGTCACCAAACGCAGGAGGCCGCTGTGTTTTAATGTCTGATTTATAAACACACACTTAGTCCGCATTGAAGATCCTTGCAGAGATATCGTCTAACATCCAGTCCATTCCAGTTAACAGGTTCTCTCCCGTCACAGCACTGCAACTGATGATGCACCAGTGATGGCTTTTAATCTCATCCAGAGCCAGAGCCTGCAGCAACAAAGTGACAATATAGATTGTGATGTGCTGCTTCTAGACAATTCAAGTGTAATATGACAAAGAAGTGTTACACAAGTGAAACAGTGAGGAATCATTGCAACGCTAGTGTTAATTTCACCTCTCGAATCGCCTCCTTAGACAGAGCTCCAGGTAAATCCTGTTTGTTTGCAAATACCAGCAGTGTTGCACCAGCTAACCTCTGCAGGGGAGGAAAAGGACGAGAACCATATCAGACGTGTTAAATGCAAAGAAGAAGCTCCTTAACGTGACAGAACAAGACTGGGATTTCACACTGGTGTCTGAGTGTGTACTGCTTCAGGAACAGTTTTTGGAAAAAGGGACATTTGGTCAAATTAAACTGATGAGTAATGGTAATCTGCTAATACAGCGAAGATGTCAGAGCATTCAGTGTCATATTGATGGAGACGTTTCACCTTGTTGGTACGCACACAGCAAACCAGCTAACAGACCTGTCGACAGTTACGTCATGTTTTCACAAACCCACTACTCTGATTTCAATGATTCTGCGAGCTTGACAAATATTACACTGATACTTCTGTGTAGATGATTTTTAAAATAACCTCTGAACCCCATAAGCCTCCTTCAAAAGTGTTCACCAAATTACATGGACAGCAATAGATGGATAGGAGAGTGTTGTTCATAACAGGACAACAAATTGATGGACACATTATTCATTCGATGTTTTTATGATTCATTAAATTTTGAGGGATGTTGGTAAGACAACATAAACATGAATGAAATTCAAGACATTGTAATTCCTTGTCCTGCTCTTTTAAGGGAACTATCTTCAGTTCTCTGTTGGTGTTTCAACTTAGGCAAATACCCTCTTGTAACACCAGTATTATTTCGTTTACCTCTTCCTTTAGCAGTGCACTGAGCTCCTGTTTGCAGTCCTGCAGTCTGAGTCTGTCGGCGCTGTCCACCACCCACAGCAGCCCGTCTGTGCTCTCAAAGTAGTTTCTCCAGTAGGAACGCAGCGACTTCTGACCTCCTACATCCCACATATTCAGCTTAAACCTAGAAAACACAAACGGAAGAGACCATGAGGACTTTGTAGTAAGACAAGAAAATGTCAAAGACTAGTAGCATGGGGTGTTGTTTGGGGGTTCCCACTATAGTTTTGCTGCCGTCTCCTTTACAAAGCTAATCACAGAATTTAAGGGGGTTCTCACAAAATTGTTTTTTACTGTGGATTACTCTCTTCAGCTGTTTCCAGGGGGCCCCTCCTGACTAGGGACCCCAGACAACTGCGTACTTTGCCCACACTGTGTATGAGGGGCTTTTGACAGACACGTGCAGAAGCAGTGATGATCGATGACCTCAATGTTTTAAGAAGTGCAGGAGGATTTTGTGAAACAAAAGTTTAAGCTGCAGGCCTTTTTCACAGCAGACATTTGAAGTTGTCAGTGTGTGTGTGTGTGTGTGTGTGTGTGTGTGTGTGTTACCCTCTGTGCTCCAGGGTCTTGATGTTGAAGCCCAGTGTGGGGGAGATGGTGCTGACGTCCTCGCCGTTAAACTTCTTCAGGATGGTTGTTTTCCCCGCGTTGTCCAGACCTCTGCACGAGCCACGTTAAAGACAATAACAATACACACGTGACAGACTCACCGCTCGCTAACAGCTAGCATGATACAGCACAAAACGCACGCAACAAGCTCCGCACAGCACAGAACCGTGTGTAAACTACCGCCCGCGATTCTTGCGTTTTTGACGCAAATGAAGCGGTAATAACGTTGTCGTATGGGTGCTCAAATGTTAGCTGCTAAGCTCAACAACCCGTCACGCACAGGATACAACATCAGGAGCCGCATCTCTCGCTCCTTCTGCTTCATCTTCTTCAGGATCGTCAGTAAACCCATCGTAGACGTGTCCCGCTCCGCTGCTTGTGTTATGGTTGACTACAGATGAAGACTTTAATGTGAAAGGTGTTCAGCATCCGGGCAGGCAGCGGTAGCTCGTAGAGGCACTTCCGCTGTTAACAGAACCCGCCTCTGTTGCTGTTTGGGGTCTTTCGGGGCCGCATCAGCTTCAGTGTGTCTGACGCTGTGCCTGAGTGAAATGATCAACCCACCTAGAAATGTTGCATCTAAACCTCTTTATATACAGTCTATGATCTAAACCATTAACAGTTTGATTTACTTTTTGAGTTGATGTTTTCCTTATGACTGCATCTCACAGTCTTTCTCCAAGGACTAAGTTAAATAACACCCATAAGAACATTTAAAATAGACTTATTGTTACTCCTTCAACTTCAGAATATTTGTATCACACAAATCTCTCATGTTATTCAATGAGTTATATTTTCTAGGGACCAAGGTTATTATGGTTTTGAAATTTTCATTAGCTTTTTATTTAGTTTTTCAGTTTGCTTTTTTATTTCAGTTTAGTTTTTGTTAGTTCAACAAGTGATTTTGTAGTTTTAGTTTAGTTTTTATTTTGAGGAATCGACTACTTTCAGTTTAGTTTTTATTTAGTTTTAGTCTTAGTTTTTTCTGGTATTAAGAGAAAGCCTTGACTTTGAGAAGCTGAAAAAGGATGAAACAATGTGTGACACCAAATATGGTTTATCAAGTCCTTTAATTTCATTCTTTAACCATCACCTGCAGGACAGGCAGTGATCGAGGGAAACGAAGACGAAAACGAAGCTGAATTTATCTGCAATTCAGTTTAGTTTTAGTTAGTTTTGCATTGTTCATTGTAGTTTTTATTTAGTTTTCGTTTTTTTTGTAATTGTCATTTTTATTTTTATTTCAGTTAACTAAATTATTTTTTCATTGCTAGGTTTAGTCTTAGTTTTCGTTAACTATAATAACCCTGCTAGGGACATAAAAATGGTTAAACTATGATCAAAACAGTTGAAGGGGGATTCAAATTCTCTGACTAACAGTTAACTATGAATATGTATAATATGAATAGCTGCTGATAAATATTTTTTTTACAAACGATGCAACTGAATCATTTATCCCCATGTGTGCTTTAAAAGTCATTGATGATGTTTGCTTTGACACAGTGCCCCCCTGTGGCTTCTTAGTAGAACTACGGCTGCAGAGTGAAAAGTCTGAACAATTTCAGTCAAATTGAGAGATCCAGAAAAATCCAAGTTTTTTTTTACTAACTTTTACTTCAGCACATAGCTGAAAATTTCTCAGGGAAAGAAAAGTCTGATTAAAAAAATCTGAGATTACAAATAATTAAAAAAAAAAAGAAACAAGGACAAAGGAGCACAAAGAAAAGAAATAAGCAAACGAGGAGATTAATAAAAAAGCATCTGGTTTGATTTGTCCTCCCTCTCCTTCCTCCTCCTCTACTCCATCTCTATCATGCTGTAGAAGTCCTTCTCGGCTCTGGCGATCAGCTTTTCAGGACTCTCCTCTAGCTCCTCCTGACCTCCTTCCTCCTCTTTGCCCTGCTCCATTTGACCCTTCTCCTTCAGACGAATCTCTCTCTGTTGAGCCACCAGGACCTTCTCTCGCTTTGTCTCGCGCTCAAACATCTGGAATTAAAGAAACACAATGATGCCTGAGATGTTTCAACTTGATTCTTCTACACATTGGAACATGTGGGATGCTACACATCTGTCATTTAAAGTAAACTGTCCTGAGCCTCACTCCTTTCAGTACGTGAACCCGAATATAACAGATCATTCTAACAATTTTATCACTTTCTCTCTGAGGCCCTGTCCACATTGGTTTTTATCAAAAAGATGATTTTCTTCCTTCGTTCTGCATCAAGAATGGATTCTGATGCAACTGTTTTTCAATAAAGTGAAAGAGTAACTGTAAATTTGAGTGAGTTGAGTTTGAGTTCAAAAATCTAAGTTTAAAAGGGCTTTACAACTGACATTGAGTTTCTGAACATGTTCACCCTTGGCACAGTTTTCCAAAAGCTAAGATTAGGGAATTAAACATGTATCTGTGGGTGTTTCAGTGTTTCTCACAGCAGACAGCAGATTCTTCTCGTTGTTTTGGATTGTCGACAGTTCAGAGCAGATTTCCAGCAGCATGACATCGCCCTGCTCAGAACCACATGCCACCAAACGCCCGTTATCATGAATGCGAAGGCTGTTCAGAGCCTTGTCACACACCTGAGGATGACCATTGACAACAAGGATGACAACAAACAACAACATTAAGGACACACAATAATGACATTTACTTTTGTTTATGGGGGATAAGGGCACCTTGAGACTGAGTGTGGGGTCGTTCTGTTTGAACAGGATGTCCCAGACATCCAAGACACCGTCCATCCTAACTGTGAGGAAGATCGAGGGTCTGACTGGACTCCAGCAGGCATCTGTCAGGGATGCCATCTGGTTTCTGAGGAAACAAAACTGGATGTTAAAATCTGGTTTGACCCAAACTGAGTAGGATGTAAAGTGGAGGGTCTGAGTCCTACTTGGTCTGCATGATGAATGAGTCCTTGATGTCCTCAGACCAGATCCGGGCAATCGAGTCCCCCACTGTGAGGAAGTTTTTAGGAAAGAAGGGATTCCTCTGCAGGGCGTAGATGGGCCCGTGGTGACTTTCGTACGTACTTACTATTTTCTCAGCTGGTGTCTTTGCTTTCCTGTTACAGGAGACAATGATACCCTGCTCCGTCCCCACCATGAACTTAGTAGGCTGCAGAGAAATTGAGGGCAGAGTAACGAAGTCAGAAACACAGGGTCTGAGATTAAACTGTTAAAAGTAGTTTTAATCTGTTGAACTACTGATTCCTTTAATGCAACGTTGCATCAAGTATGTTCTGAATGTTGTTTTTTTAAAGATCTCTGTTCCTTTACAGATATAATGGCAAATTTCAAATCTTTTCTGGGAGTTGGTAGGCAAAATTTTCTTATGAGCTTTATACTTAAGTGCAAAATACTGTAATCTACTAGTTTGATGGATCTATATCGACTCTACTGGGAATTCTTATTATCTAATGAATCCTTTACTTTGTGTAATGAAGCTATTGTTTGAGATATTTTTGCATTGTGTAATTTATATGTGATCTCATCTATCATGACTAATTTACTCTACAATTTTCTTTAATAAGTCATTCCTCTGCTTTTTGCTAATGAATCGTGTGATGAAAGCTGGTTTTGATTTTTCTGTCCTTGGTAATGTGAGACAAATAGATATTGCATCATTTTGAATCTTTATGTTATTACTGGGCAGAAATTCCATCACTTGCTCACTGAGATCTATAACCATCATATTAATTTACAGACAAAGGGGGGCTGTAGCTAATCCCATTGAACATTGGTTCATCCTTGGCAGCGGCCCCTCCAGCCCATGTCAGGGCCAAAATACACAGAAGAACTAAACTAACTAAAAACAACCATTCACTCTATTGTTCTCACCTAACCCTATTTTCTATGTCGTTGGACTGTGGGGGAAACTCCACACAGAAGGACTCCGGCTGAACCAGGATTAGAACCAAGAACCTTGCTGTGAGGCAACGGTGCTTAAGGACACACAACATATACTTGCCCATCTTGAGCTCCATGCTGGGTAGAATAACAGAAACTCACCATGGTGGTTTCAAACTCCAGTGAGATGGCTCCTAAAGCTCGATTTAGGTTCTCCTCCTTGCCAAGGTCTAGAACCAGACGCTCTGTGGGCTCGCTCAACTTGCGAACATCCCACCACAGAATCTGACAGAGAAATGAGACTTGTAATATTAGTTTTTTTTAAAGATTAGTTCCCTGGTCCTATTTAGACCTCTTCAACCTGATATGCTAATTCAAACAATCATGAGTCTACCTGTCCATCCGTGGAGGCAGAGAATGTGTCAGTTCCAGTCTTGGACTGCAGCCAGACAACTTTGTAGAGTGGGTCCCTGTGACTCTGCTCCAGAGGGGAAAACTGCACAGGATGGCTGCCTCTCCGGGTGTCCCAGAATGCTAAAACAAACACAGTTACATCTTAAACCTTGTCACCGACAGAAAATCACTGTTTGTCAGTCTGGACCTGAACGTACCAATCTGCCCATTGAAGCTACCTCCTACCAGAGTGTATGAATCTTTGGGATTATATTCCAGACAGATAAGTGGAGATGTCGGTGTGAGTGCCATATCTGGTCTGTTTGGGTTCTCTGAAACATAAAACATCCATCTGTGAAATGACTGGAATCTGTGGTGCTATTAAATTCAGCTGCCTTCTGACCCACCAATGTCCCAGATGTAGGAGTCCGGGCTCATGTCTTCGGAAGCTTTCTGGAACTTGAGGCAGGAGTTGGCGGTTGCCAGCTTTCTGCCGCTGTCGGGATGCCATGACAGCCCTGTGATGGTACGTTTCACCTTATTAGGATCTCTGTAGGCACAAAGGAGAGGGAGTGCAATGAACAAAACAACCTCAGCGATTAATCGGTCACTGTTCATCAATGTGTTGAAAGTTGCACCTAAAAACATTGATGGTCTTGGCGGATGGTGGCTCCTGAACTCCCTCCACCTCCATCTCCTCCTCCAGGTACTCCTCGTAGATGTCCACAGCATTGTTCTGTCTGATGTAGTGCTCCATTACCTGGACCAAACCATGAGATCACATGGTTAAATTATGTAGTGACGTCACAGCTGTAGACACGTTCTTCTAATCTGCTGACAGCCACTTAACTCACAGTGAAAGTAAATTAGAGCAAACCAAATGTGACTCAATGTCAACTGAGGTGAACTGGGTGGATTTGAACTGATGTGGACTGAGGTAAAGTGGGTGGAAGTGAATGGAAGTGGACTGATGTGGACTGAGGTGAACTGCATGAATGTGGACTGAGGTAAAGTGGGTAAATGTGGACTGAATTGAACTGGGTGGAATTGGATCTTACACTGGCCAACTGCAGGATGCTGTTGGTGTAGCGCTCATCTTTTTCCACCTTCTTCCTGTAACGGAGGGTTTGCTCCATATCCTCAGGGTTGATGTCTTTGGGCCAACCCCCCTCCACATGGTTGATCCCAATGCTGGCCGACTCAAAGTGCTCCGTGTTCACCTGTAGAATTGTTCTTTTTAATACAGACGTAATATGTCACCTGTCATTTCAAAGACATTTATTTCTTTCTCCAGTGGTATTAACCAGTCATGTCCAGTCACTGCTGGTGTTCCTTCTGTGTATCATCTACTTACTTACTCTTGGCCATATCTTCTGTAAGTTTAACATTAATTTCCATTGCTATGAGCAGGTGAGTCTCACCTGGTGCTCGGACATCTCGCGGTACACCTGCTGGGCCTGATCTCTGGGGGTTGTGGTGATGAACTCCCGACTTAGACTCGGCTCCGGGAGCACGTCCACCACCAGCTCAGCGGGCCGGTCCGAGAACAGACACTGGCGGCCAAATTCCTTGCGAAGTTTCGTGTAGACGTAGACGATCTCCATGGAACCTGGTAGTATTCTATCGTATGAATAGAGTAAGAGCAAACTCAATTCAAGGCAGCGGTAGCTCGTAGAGGCACATCCGGTGTCAACAGAAACAGGCAATGATGTGTAATGGCAGCTGGCTTTTAAACTGCCTTTGATGTCACACTGCAGGCAACTGCCTCTGTTGCCAAACTGTATAGAGGCAGCGGCCTTTAAAGCCAACCATGTTGGGGAGCAGTTTTGTCTGAGCAACTAAAGCTGTTTGAGATTTATTCAATGAGATATATTCTGGTTCATTAAAGATTATTAGATAGTTTGTTAGCTCTCGGGGGTGGGACTCAAAATTAATTAAGAAAAGCTCCATTTCAATTAGATCCATATGCATCATCTTGCTGCTTTGGATATGTAAGAACTATGTAAGAGACAGTATTCCAAGTATCAGCTACAGTCTGACTGTGCCTGAGCCTGTGATAAACCAAAGTATACATTTTTATCACAATGACTCCATTGACAGCAATATTGATACAGGCGGGCTTATCCTGTTAAAATAAAGTGAAATGTACTGATATTGAAGCAAACTGTTATTTATACTTTCCTGGCTAACCAGTAATTTCAAGTACATCTCCACCACGGTTACCAAGTGCAACTTGAAAAAAAAATTGCATTTGATGACAGATAGACATGAAAAATTATTAAATACAAATTTTCATGTTCATTATTTATGAGTATTTGTGCAAATGCAGAACGTAATAACTAAATAAAGCAACATTATAGCATTGTTTATTGTAGTGACATATTCTGTCAGTGAGGAGGTATAACACATGATCAATCCACCACAGATTTATAAAACGTTTTGCTGTTCATTAAGTGTTTGTCATTCTCTGCCCATAAAGAAGAATTGGAAGCTACAACCTTCAGACTTTAAACTTGAAAGAAATGATAATGTAATATTTGTTGTGATAATTATCAATATCGACTGACATGACATTTTTACAGCCCAATATGGCCTGGACATTATTATTCAATTCAACAGTCATAGAAACTGTATATACTGTAAAGAAAAAAATGTTAGTTCCGCAACAACACAGCAGGTTATATTTGTAAAACCTTTGTTTTACTTTGCTCATTACAAATGGAGTCATGCTCTCTGTCAAATAATGAAGCAGCTGAAATCATTTATCTTAAAATTGTTTAAAGCTGTTCAGAACAAGTGGGCAGAGATTTCCCAGCAAAAGCTTTTCTGGAATTCCCTGCACACGGAGGCGGGCCCAGCTGTATTCCTAATATGGTCAAGCGGAGCTCTTCCTGTCACAAATCCCCCTTTGTATTTGTCTCGATGCCTCCAAGTACAGTCGAAAATAATCAGGTATGATTTGTACTGTAGTGGACCACACGTTCATAATTGGAACATGGGGCTATTCGATGCAATTGAACTCATGTACTTAAACATCTCGTTTCGAAAATCAGGATTTAAAAAACAGTAGCCACTTAAATGGCTGCATTGGTGTAGCGACACAAGCTTGAAAACTGAAAGTACCATGCCGCACTTGAATGCGACACCCTTGACTTGCAATGGGCCAATTTCACATAAAGAGAAACTGAAAGCAGATGCAGCGTCTTGTTGCGTCAGACGTCAAACCCCCTGGGCACATAAGCAGCTGCTACTCAGACTGAAAGCATTTACATAGTCACGAAGCACCCACCGGGAACTAGTCTGCACCGCTGACACCACACATTTACACTCTCAAGCTTTCATTTTCACTCATTCAAAAGTCGGTCCAAGCTGCAAGCAAGAAGCGCAGGCTGTGCGTAATTGCGATCATGACGCGCGGGTGATCCGGGCTGGATGTGGATCGAGATTCAAGCTACCGGTGTAAGAGCAGCCATTCGCCCGTCCAACAGGCTGCTGCAGTTGGGACGGGGGGGATGAGAGATGTCCCCCTCACTCATGGACACCAGGGATGGACCCAGCAGCCCCTGCTCCCTGTCAGCTGAGGAGAGCAACAGCAACACAGCCGGATCGGTGAGTCCTCCTTCTCCTTTTCAACAATCAATCAATCAATCAATCAATCGACTACAATCATGTCACATCCTGTCATAGCAACTGTACCTTACCGTTCATGAATATCCCTGTCAAAGAAGTTGATAATTTAACTAAAGCACCCATTTGATCCTCGTTATGATATTCATTTTATCTCTGATCCACTAATTTCTTGTTTATTAGACTTTTCTTTTTAGGGGGATTTTGACAATGTAGAAACAGATAGATGAAATAGGAAGTGATAGAGGATGAGTCATTCCAAAAAACTGTATGCATGGTTTTAAGTAATAGGTAACATCAAAAGACAAAAATCAACAACAAATCAATTTAAGCCTTAAACACATAAACCCATGTAATCACACCATTAGCCATGGTTTTCCCATTAGCAATCAGCCAATTTACAAATCATCACATAAAAGTGAACTGAAAGGAGAGACGTGAAATGAAAATAGATCCTAGTACTAATACAGACATATTTCAGATTTAAAAATACTAGCCCCATCTTATAATATTGTGTATGGAACTGGTAGCACCAGTTAACTTACCTGTCAGATGGGTTATTTTGTTCAAGGCTTGCTGCTTTGCACCCATCATCTCATATAGGTAACGAGAAAGTGCTAATCCATACATCAAATTAATTTAATCCTTGTCAAGTGTAGCCATAAACACACTTTTAGTTGTTTTGCTGAGATGCACTTACAGTTTGAGGACAGGGCTGTTGTTCCTATAGAGTTTGGATGTTATTTGTTAACAGAAGTGTCCAAATCAATCAGTCATATTAAATTTAACGCTGTCAGAAGAATGACCATTTATTTTCATGTCTATTGGATGAAGTTCCTCTCAACCATGTCCAGGTCTGCTGTTTCTTTATTGACCTGATTGAACTGAGCGACCTCATGACCATTCATGTGATTAGTTTGTCTCATGGCCATCAACCATTAAAACGTTTGAAAACACCAACATCTAAAAAAGTGATTAAACAGAGTCAGTGTTGATGGTCTACTGTGTCTGCATGAATCTTTACAGGAGAGAGAAGGAGAGGGACAACAGGTGGGAAACACAGGGAAGAGAAGACAAGAGAAGAACAGAGAGGCTGCCAGGAAGACCCGCCGAAAGCAAACGGAGAGAGCTGACGAACTTCACGAGGTTTGAAACGTTTCTCCTACTATCGGTCCTTCCACCATCACCTGTTGGCTCTGTCTATCATTCTTTCAGTGTATAACCAGAGTGTGTGTCTTGTGTAATCTGGCAGCAGGCCGTTTCTTGTAAATAGCCAGCCTTATGAGAAGGACTTTCACTCTTGCCCTCCCTTTCACATACACCCTCTACCCACACACACACACACACAACCTTAAAGCTGAATGATTTGTTGCATTATGTATGTTCTTTGCCCCCAGGCACACATTTGTTTTTCACAAATAGATTTTATTTTAATCAATTTAATAACTTTCTGAAACTTACTTTTATTTCATTTTAACCAAAGTTCATTAAACAAATTCATTATTCATTTAATGTCATAGATATTGTGATAGGTCACCCTTACATAAACCTATTCATTGTCTGGAGTCTTATCCTAATCTTAACAACTGACCCGAAAATCTTTTCTTCCCAATTGACCTTTTTCCTCCCTGAGAGGTAAATGAAGCTCGTTCTGAGGTACTGAATAGAGCTTCTCTTTGGATGTGATGCAACAATTTTGTCAGCACCACTGAAAACTATCTTCAAATCCAACTGTGATGTTGTCAGTTGTTTCTCACAAGAAGAATTAATAAAGTGATTCAAATAATTCTTTGTCCTCTTGGTAAATATACATATTTTCTGTCTTGCTCGTAATTGGATGATCTGCTGGTTGGAGCTTCATACATAATGCAGGTTGATTGATTGTTGATTAGTGATTACAGATTTCTGAACAGCACAGTTCAATAGAGTTGTGATTTTAATCTTTCATTTTCTATTTCTTCTTATCCGTTCAGTTCTGCTGTGTGACCTTCAGGTTAGGTTTGATTTATTAACATTGGAAAGTGTGTCGAAAGTACATGGTTTCGACGGCCAGCATACATATCTGTATATATACTACTGCTACTTTGCTCCTTGACCTTAAAGGGGACATAAGGGGTCACTTGTCAGTTCATTTAACATTTTAAACCTCACCTCCTCCATGTTAGCAGATGGTTCGGCGTGCCCTCGATATCGCAGCTCCACTCCGTATCCGGGATATTTCAGCTTCATTTTTGTGCTCAGGCAGAAGTGGAGACACGATGTTCATCTTTATTTATAGTCTATATCTCTAAAACTACATTATAACTCCCTGTTTTTACTAAACTGTGTTCAGCCAGGAATCAGCCTTCCTGCTCACCACCACACCCTCCTGTCATGCTGAACTGGCAGGGCTGTCGCTTGAGAGTAACATTTCAGTTCTCCTTTGAGGTTTAAGGCCACACATCATCTGCATTATGGCTGTTGTACTTTCTATTACAGCCCTCAGGAAGATGCTTTAAGAAGCGTGTCATTAGTGTTTCCACGCTCAAGTGTTTTATTACAGCATGGGTCACACTTGCTGTGTGGGAGGGATGTGATTGCGTTTGTTATTTGTCTTTTGATGTGTGTCATGAATCCATTTTTTATGGCTGATGAGGTCCACTCTGAGGGATGCTAAAAATATACCTGACTCAGCTTGACCTAACTGTTTGTCCTCCCTTCTCCTCTCTCATCTTTAGGAGCTCCAGCGTCTTGAGCAATCAAACTGCACCCTCAAAAATGAGATCGCCGGATTGCAAAAAGACCGCAACCACTACATGAAAGCTCTGGCACGTCACGAGCCTTACTGCCGCCTCAAAGTGTCTGAGGCCGTCTCAGGTGGCTGTCAGAGCACTTCCAGCCCTCCATTGATATTCGCTCCCCAGGCTTTGAGCTCCATTCTGGCTGCTCCCCCTTTGGGCTCCTCCAGCCTGGGTCATCAAGCCCAGCTCTCATCCTCAGCTTCTCCTCCAACATACTCCTTGTCTTCTGGCTCGTCTGCCTCCGGGCCTGCGACTCTTCCTTATTCCATGCCAGATCATCACTCTTTGTTCAGCAAAGAGCCTCCAATCACCACAAGTCCGACAGGGGCTACGCCTCTTTGCACCAGCGTCCTTTCAACCTCTACTACCTCCAGTGTCCACACCGCAGCTGCTCAGCCTCAAACTAGGCGAGACATCATCCACAAAATCTCCTCTGTGCCTGCAAATGCATGTTTTCCTCCTCTTAAGTCAGGAACATTGGAGGCTTTTTTAATGGAAAAAACCCTTTTGGTGCCCCCTTTCCAACATTTGGTGGGACAAATTGGAGGCCCAGCATCCCAAGCATGTCCCATGAATGTGCCCCAGCTTCCTCTGGGTCAGCACAGTGGAAATCCAAACATCTCGAGTCCACTGTTACCACCAACTCTTCAGGATCCTGCTGGTCTGTCGCCTCATGCTAACTTGGAGCTGCCTCTTGCCTCCTTTGGTTACAGACAACAAACACCCAATCAAGCATCTCTGCTCTCCCTCCTCACCCTCCCGAGCCCTCTGAACAGCAGCAGCAGCTCTGACGCTCAGCCTCCGCCCTTGCTGCCACTACCAGGCGATCCCTCAACTGACCTTTCTCTTTCTGAGCTGCTAGAGGTCAATGACTGGATCCTAACTGGAACTAGTGATCAATAACACTACGTGTAACATGGTGATGGAGAACCAGAGTCCCTATTTAAAATGTCCTAATTGACATTTTTACATTACATTAAAACTATTTAATTGAACTCTTATGATTTAGATTTCATATTTCTTTCAGGCAGATTTCTTACTATCTTCCAATAGAACTCACTGTAAAATACACGGTTTTTCCAGAGAGATTTTTACATCTGACATCCAGTTGGCAGTTATTTATGGAAAACTGGCATCAGAAAATGAACCTATGTCTGAGCTGTTGCTCATAATCATGTCATTCTTCTCCTAAAGGGATACTCTCGCAATTTCATCCAACTAAGAGACCCAGAAAAGGCCAATATTTAAAAAGCAGAGGTCAAAATATCTGGATACTTAGTTCAAAGGTTCAGGTTAGGTTCCAACAATGCCCTGTCTAACATTTCCCATAATGTAACCTGTAGAATGTTTGATTAGATGTTCAACGTCTGGTTTTATAAAACATGTTTATTGAACCTAATGCCTTCATTCATAGCACAAGCTTTCTGATATCACTGAAGCCCAAACTGAGATTAACCCTGATGACAACACTATAACTGTCTTTTTCTCAGATTGACCAGAGCTATAGACGACAACATATGATGGTTTCCATAAGCTGTGTAATGCTCAAAATCAAATAATCCTTAATTAAACAATCATAAAATCCTTTCCCAAAAAACAACTACGTAAAGGAAACTCAAACTAATTTCCTGCAGCTTCTAAATACTCCATCTCTCCTTGATAACAGGCAAAGCTTTGTTCAGTAAACGAGAAGCTTGTGAGTCCAGCTCAAATCCAGCAAGGGAAACTTTTTCTCAGTTTTAAATTTGTAAAAATGTATAAGTGGGTGTCATTCCTTTCAGACAAACACTGACTCAGCACTCTAAACTTTGACTTGTTATTTAAAAAAGAGGTGGAGTAAAGACTTCCTCACCACTTCATGGAAAAGGAGAAAATGTCCTTATGTGCCTGCAGCTGCAATATATGACAGGGCCAAAGTTAACCACAGAGTCTGCAAACTGGCTGCATGTGACATTCATCCAGATTTAACAAGAGGAAAGTATCTTATTTTACTCTTGTCTTTGTTTTACCATGTTGAAAAAAACTTTCTAACATATTTCACTGCTTATAATAATTTATTTATGCAAGAAAAATGTGCCATGTCACTATTATTCTTAATAAATACTGTTGGTTGTTGGACCCTCTAGTGGACAAATTGGTGTTTGAATTGCAGCAATGAATTCAATTTTTGTGATAAGACCCTTATGTGCAGTCAAATGTATGTAAAAGATCATCAGTCAGCTTTTTAGAAACTAACGTGTTTTCATGTGCAGCACAGTGACGACAGACCTACTCAGATCTGTAAGGGGGGGGGGCAACGCAGTGTGAGGTGGGGGTAGCTTCATTAAGCATGACGATGGCGGTGAGGGGGGACACAGATCTGGTGGCCCACCAGCGTCCTCACCCCTGGGAGTGCAAACCTATGATCACCAGAGAAAAATAACGATTAAGTTTAAGATTAAGATTCTGAGTTTGGTTTTCCAGATGATGATTTATTCGATTATTCTGCTTTCTACACATTATATATCTATAGTTCTATTGAACATTTTATTCCATGTAGCAGCTTCAGTAGCTGTAGAGGAAGGTTTGGGGTCTGTATATGGGAGTTATGACCATTGTTGTATTTCTTTTGTATTTATGTATTAATATATTGATAGCAATAAAATGTTCATTGCGGTAAAATTCTGTTTAATCTATAATGTATTAGGCTATTCCAATACTGTATACAGTCTATACAGTTTGATTATCACTGTGTTTATATTGAAAGATGACATAACACATTTCCCTTCTTACAAATTAAAAGTTTAATTCATTTAAAAATTAAAAACACAGAAACATGATTTAAATACATCCAATAGTTTTGCTGCAACTTCCACCACTGAATTCCTCTTTTAGTGCTATGATTGCTGACATTTTTGCTTTTGATTAAAACGTCTCAACATTTACGGGATGGGTTGCTATGGAAAATTCATTACACTTGTCCATTTCCCCTTCAGGGATAATTGTAATAACTGATGATCCCCTGACTTTACCTACTCTGTCACTTGGTGAAAATGTGAACTTGACCAATGCTTGCGGTTCATGATGGAACACTTGCAAAACGTCTAACATCCAGTCTGAGTTGTACTTTGTTTTGTGCTGGTATGTATCTTAGCAGCTAACCTTAGATGGTGAACAAAGTACACATTATATACACTGTATGTAAAATCAGCACCTGGTAGCTTAAATCTCTGCTGCCACCTACAGTGTGTATTCAAGTATGCTCCAAATGTTTTGATTATGATGTGTATCTTACTGTATATTAAATGTGTGACAATGATGTGAATTTTATATTTATATATATTCCCTTTAGCTGCTTTGGGATTATTTTGTGTAATCCGTAAAGTTACTTGGAGCATTAAATGCCATACAAATAAAATGTATTATTTTGAATATCAGGTAAAGCACATTTCGTACCCAGAGTTAGATTCAAGGTGCTATGTACATTGCAGGGACAACACAGAGATGAAATCGAAATAAATACATTTCAAAACTATATGTACAAGTTCGTTTTTTGAATCAAAAATAGATTTAAGATAGATAGATAGATTACTTTATTCATCCCCAAAGGGCAATTAGGTCGTCATAGCAGTTCAGTATTTGGATACAATAAAAATACAATAGAATAAGATATTGTAGGTAGAAAAAAATAAAAAATAAAAATACAGAATAGGACAAGGGCACTTAAAAAACACAAGATTTAAAAGAGCAGAAATATGTAAAAGAATACAATTAAATTAAATTATGATCTCATATTTGTTAAAATAGTTTAGTTGAAGTTTCTTGTGATTTATTCACAAGTTTTGAGTCTGGATTTAATAGAAGCTATACAATAGGGTCTCAGTTCTGTGCTGCATGAGGCTGCTGACAACACAGGTATTATAGTGTTGTTAAACACTGGGTGACTAGATTAAGAATAACCAGTATAAGAATAACCTCGGGTGACGTGCACAGGTGGAGCTATATGCACCCCTTTGCTCTGCGTCTTCTCTACCAACCACTCACTGCTTTACGCACGGTGCTGGTTGTTTTTCCCACAGGCTCACCTGAGACACAGCACAGGGGAAACTGAGGAGGATGGGGAAGAGGGAGAGAGGAGTGGGCCACGGAGCGCAGGCGCATGGCATTACGCACGCCCTTGCTGGATATATATGATTATAATAAGGCTGGGGTGTGTTTATGGTGAGTTTAGGGTTCTGACACATCCACTGCAGCCAAGGTGTGAGGGAGTGTGTGTGAGTGTGTGTGTGTGTGAGAGAGAGAGATAGCAAGTGGCTTAGTGGAGAGAAGAACAATGGATGGCACTTGGTCCTAAGAGCCAACTACAGCCACCGACATGCGCGCGCGCACTCACCCCGGATAGGGAGCGAGGAAAATGGGGGGGGGGGGGGGGGGGTCTGCTGCCAGAGGATCAGGATCATTTCATAACAGCGTGAAACAGCAGCCACGCACGCGGGTTTTGGCCATGAGGTGATACTGCGGGATGTGCGTGATGAAGGCGCGCGACAAACCATTATGACGCACGTGTTTGAGAGCATCACATCCAGACAAATACATTGATGTGTAAATAAATAAATAAATCCATCCTATAGCGTCATCCGCAGTGAGGAGCCTCTCTCTCTCTCTCTCTCTCTCTCTCTCTCTCTCTCCTTGCAGCACCTCAGGCTCAGGAACCGTCGCAAGTCACACTGAGTGAGACCAGAAAGCATCCGGTCATTCTATCAAAATAAAATCCTAACTTTTTGCCCCACTCGGGAATCAAGTAGACTGAGGCAAAATGTGGAAAATCTATGATATGGAAAACATCACAAACGTCCCTCATGATCTTTATCTTATGTCCACCAGCTCCAAGACAGGCTATAACTGAGTGGTTCCCAAACCAGGGGTCAGGGAGCCGAAAGAGGGGTCGCATCAGTGGCAGATGTAGGATTATTCTAATTCAGGGCCACAATTAACACAGAGGGGCCAAATATATGTCCAACATCCATCTAGCAATTCCTGACTCTGTGTGCACATTTAAGTCACCCACCGAAATAACCATGATACAGACACGTGATCCTCATCATACCAACAGATATTTATTCGAGCAAGCTCACAAAAAAATCACCTGCATGCATGTTTTGCAGTGTTTCCCATGGAATAGAGGTTTTTAATTTAAATTCAACAATTGTGTGCCTGTGTGTGTGTGTGGACATGGATTTATTAAATTGTGCACTTTACTGGATCAGGGATTGTGCATGGATGTTAAATCTAGGCCCCTTTAAGGCACTTGATTTAGACAAATCCTAGATCCAGCTTTAATTTAATCCCCCC